CAACACCAAGTCAAGGGTTAAGATCCCCTTACCAGTCATCTTTAAAAAAAAAAAAAAAAGCCTCCTAGGATAAGCAGTTCTTCTCTTATCAACCTTGGTCTGACTCCAAAGCAACCTCAAGGCCTGCTCTGACCTTACAAGGAGCCAGCTTCATGGAGGTGACACATTCTAGATGCTTCATCTCAATTAGTCCACAGAAGGAATTCTTTTTCCTCTCAGATCCGAGATGAGATTAGCAGTGATATGCAACTGTTATCGAAAAGTAACAAATTTCCCCTCCAGCTGGAATCCTAAGGGCCATGACATCAGTCCTCAACTTGACATTAACTCGCTGTGGGACAGTGAGTCCTGGACCTCTCTGAACATCATTCTACCCTTGTAAATTGCACTTCATGACCTCCGAGGTCTCTCCAGGAGCCAAAAAGTTCTTTTGAGCGCTGGCTGCTTAGCTCAGTTGATTAGAGCGGGTGTTGATAACACCAAGGTCAAGGGTTCAGATCCCGATACAGGCCAGCTGTCAAAAAAAAAAAAAAGCCTGAACAGAACAGCTGTCAAAAAAGAGAAAAAAGGTTTTTTGAGGGGTGGCTAACCTCTCAGTGGACTGGAGGTTGCTTGAGGGTGGGAGAACAGACTTAGTCCCCAAAAGAAATATATTCCTTGAAGTGGATAATTGAAGCCTTTTCTTTTTTTTTTTTTTTTTTATAAAAGATGACCGGTAAGGGGATCTCAACCCTTGGCTTGGTGTTGTCAGCACCACGCTCAGCCAGTGAGCAAACCGGCCATCCCTATATAGGATCCGAACCCGTGGCCTTGGTGTTATCAGCACCACACTCTACCAAGTGAGCCACGGGCCGGCCCAATTGAAGCCTTTTCTCAACCTGTTTGTTAAACTGATGAAAGCATCTCTTCTATTTTTATTGGAGTAAAACTAATCTGCTTTCTACACAAACTGGGCTGAGAGACAACTGCTCTTCCCACCCCAAAACTCTGTAGCTATTGCTTCATTCG